CCCATGTTCTCATGTGAATGGTGTTTGGCGCAGGCGGTGCTTTGTCATTTACAGGTATCCAGGTAAGCCGCCAACTGAGATTGCAGAGGAGGACAACTTGCCTAAGGTGAGGAATGGGTTAATCTCCATTAGTTCACATTCAAAAGTTCAAGTTCAGTTCTAATTCAGTTTCACTATTCTGACCATGAACTAACCGCAGCTGCTGTTTCACAGAAATAACTCCGTAAACCAAAGCAGTATATACAGCTGCTTGAGGATTTTTGGCTTGCTTACCACTATCTGAGCATTTATGAAAGATTTGATGCCATGAATTTGAGCAGGAAGTCCTACCATGACTCCCGTGAAGCTGGACCCCTGACTCCAGAAGTTACATAGTGGCCATCAAATGAGAGAGGATCTAGTGGAATCCATCAGCTATAGATATTTTAGTGCATAAAATGTATATCATGAGGGTGGGATGTCTGAGGCTGAGATCAGTTTTTGGTTGGCAGCATTCACACAGCAGTCTTCTGTTCTGGTTCCATCCACCAGATGATTCTCTTTTGAAATGTGAATAAATTGCGTTTCATTTTTTCTTTGCTTAAGCATTACTTTGTTGATCAAGTAATGTGTAATTTGTGCAGCATTCATTATATTTCACAGCACATTTACCATCTTGAATTCCACCCCACAGATTTTGCTGTGTTGCTCAAACAATGGCCACTATGACATTGTTTACCCCAGGAACTATCCAGTGGATGCTGCAATATGTCAGGGTGAGTTAGCAGTTCATCAAGCCCAAATCGTGTGTGTATAATGAATCCTGATTCTGAACAATCCCAAACTGTAAACATTTTGTATCTTTATTGTAACATCACAGAACTGGAATGATGTATGTGCTGCTTTTTTTTCAGCACTTTTGTATGAACTGTTGTACACTCGTGTGCTGGGAGTTGAGGAAGAAGAGCTGCAGATGGCGCTGGAGGGATTCAAAGGAGGAGGACGACGATACCGAAACAGCCAGTCTATGTGCAGTGAGGACGCAGGATACGATACCCCAGAAGACCGCCTTCAGAGGTCTTCTCTTGTTTCCCGTTTTTGTTGTCGTCTCTGTCTTCCTTAATGTTTCTTTGTTATTCTTGCTATCTCTAAAATACAAAGTGTTGTTTCATCATGGAAAAATGTTGAAAGCTCACATGCCTTAAGAGTATAGATTGTAAGCAAGTGGTTGACCCAAAAGT